AATAAATAGTACAATACAAAATTTATGATCCAAAACATACATAAGGATTTGGATTCATTTTAAGTGGATACAACTCTTCTTCATCATGTAGTATCATATTTTTAGGTATGTACAAATATTTTTTATTTTATATACAATTAAAAATAAGTGGCATGCACCTGAAAAAGAAATATATATATATATATATTGAAAATAAGTTGTATATGGATCCTCACACAAATTTTAAATGTTTTCGGGAAATTTTTCAAAAATTTTCTCGATTAAATTTCATTAAATAAATACCATTTATTCATTTATTGTTGAATAATTATTACTGAATAAAAGTTAATGATTAAAGAGTTCAAATAATTTCAGAGCTGGGCCTATATCAGTCTTTTGTCAGTAATTTTATTGAAGAAGTAGCCAATATCGTTTGATTATTTCTATTTTTGTGTCATTCTTGGCCTAAGCAAAGTATACAAATGAAGATTAAGATCATTCTGGTTAAATTAAAATTTTTGTAAATTATGAATACTCAAGGGTTCATGCTTGGAAAAATCACAAAAAAGACTGTAAAATTAGAAAAATTTAGGATCCATAATAATATTAGCATGGGTTTTGACAACAATTTTTATAAACTAGTCCCTAAGTGTAATTTTTTTAATTTCACAGTCTTTTTTTTGCGGTTTTCCCTTAATGCTTTGAATGATAGAAATAAAATAAAAACTAAGTGAATTTATAAAAATAAATCTTCTTTCCTTTTATTTTAAACAAGTTCAAAATTATTTCAAAGTATAGCTATTGTTCCATTTTATAATCAGCATTATTTTTTTGTATATAATAGATCGCCAAACCTAATAAAAATTTTTGTTCTTAAAAAATAATTATAGTTTCCAAGTAATCGAAGAAATAGTAATTTTTTCAGTGCTTCGAGAGAATAATTGATATTTATAATTTATAAATATAATATATATTGAAATAGCTCAGGGAAATGAACATAACAACCGGGGAAGCAGCCGGCACATGAAAACCGGGTTCAAGCGGACATACGGAAGATATTTTTACCATTTGAACACAGTACCGTGGGGTGATTTTATGATTTAGTGTTGATTAAAAAAATCATAACTATGATATTATTTCTGATCCTTAATATAAAAATTCGTTTAATTTTTATTTTGATCATAAATATAAAGTATCAATCTATTTTGGTTATCATATTTATCTATCTTTTTTTAAGGTAGTCCTGGTAATAGTGGTAGTAATAGCCAATACACTTGATTAGTAAGGATATTTAAAAAAACACCTATTTATTACAAATAACTAATTTAACTAGGTTTTTTAATCTATTCAAACTAATCAACTAACTCTTATATTAAGAACCTAAAGTAATATAAAAAAAGATAAATTAAATATTTTATTTTCATAGTTTTGACTCACTTAAAATTAACTTTTACGGGGCGAAACTTAATTTATTTTATAATTTTGACTCAATCAAAACTCAACTCATAAAATTTGACTTGAGAAAACTCAGATTTATAGTTTTAATCCTTTAACACATAACTCATTCAGTATTATATATAATATAAAAATAATCGAATTATGTGTGTGGGTTAGTTAAAATTAATTAAAGGTAATAAATGTGTAAAAAAATATTGTTGTTAATATAAGATTTACAAACTAGATTTTATATCAAGAACTAAAAGTAATATATTTATTTTTTTCAACTGTACATTTAATTATAGTGGGTGAGTGAGTGAGAGAAAGAATAAGTGGGAGAAAATGAAATATAAATCTCAATCAAGTTATAATAATTAATGTAGATACATGTAATCAATGAAGATAAAAATAAAAAAATCAATTAAATTTTTACTCATATGCAAAGTGTAACTTAAAAAAAATATAAATATAAACTAATATCTGTGATCTTGATGTTATTTTTCATATGTATCTGACACTCTAATTTTATTTACGGTGAATTCAGTGCCCTCGAAGTTGTTTTTACTAATCAACACATTTGTTAACTTCTCTTGATGGTGCATATGATCACATGCATCAGTTCAAAAGCGACAATTGACCCATTGGATCATGATAATGCCTCAAACATTTCTAATTATACGGATGATTGAGCGAATTGACTGATAAAAAAGAAAAAAAAATACTCCTTCAGCCTTAAATATAAAACTCATTTTATAAGGCAATTTACACTACAAAATAGATTTTATATTTAGGATCAGAGGAGTACAATAGTTTGATTAAAAATTAAATGAAATTATAAATATGAGATAAATTTTTTTTACAGAAAACTTGATTAAAATTAGGTAAAATTCTAAGGATATGATAAAAATTAAAAAAATTACAAAAATCTAATTGCAAGTTAGGTGAAGTTATAAATACGCACAAATAAATCAATTTTGTTTTCACGTAGGATATGTTGAGGAAGGAGAGACCATCTATCAAACCAGAAAGAAGAAGCATTACCCTTCCCAATTCTCAAGCCACCGTTTTTCATAAACTTGAATCCCACACTTTACAAATACTTTTCCATGTCTGAGACGAATAAGGCCTCACCAAAACTTGGACGCATATGACGCGTTTTTGCTCAGTTAAAGCAGTCATGCGCTGTGCAAGGTCAAAAAGAAAATACTCCTCCCGTCCTAGATATAATATCTTTTTTATAGTGTAGTCTTAAATATAAAATTTTTTTTTATAATGTAAATTATACTATAAAAAATGATTTTATATTTAAAACCGGAGGAATATATATACACACATACTCATGTAGTATTATTTACAGAATAAAGAGAGAATGGATTTTTTTATCCTATTTATGATATAGAAAGAGAAAATTTTTATATAAATATATAATTTTACCTTTTATATATTATTATGTTGACTTCATTTGAAAAAGTTATTGAATATTAAGATAAAGTTAACAAATTTTAAAATTTTTCTTAGTTTATATGAATATGTTAAAAGTAACTTATAATATGATTACAGAAACGCGTATATATATAGACACACAAATTTGTTCATGCTTATTCCTTAGCTTAAAATATATCTTGAAGTAAATTATTTATCATTCTTCATAAAAAATACAACAATTATTAATCTTGTTCTCGCTGACCAAAGCATATGTATGCCCATATTTTTATATGAACGAGGTAGATGTTTTATACCTGACAATGCATTTGTTTAACTCTATATATACCTTGGCATCTGTCTGTAAGAAAATTATAGTTTAATACATATATAGTTGCCCACACATATATATAAAGAAAAATTTATGTCTAATTTTCCAATATATTTTCTTATAACAGTTTTAATTAAAATGTGCCAAGTTTATAGTTTTTACATGCACGTTTTTAGTTAAAAGCATATAGTTAATTTATCTTCTAAATAACTATTCATATTTTAATGATTTTTAAATTAACAATTTTTTTATATTTTTACGAAAATTTGTTGATCAGCTTTAAAATTTAACTCAACAAAAAAATTGTTAAACATTCACATTTGTATGTTTAATTCTTCAATATTTTTTACTGGCAAAATTAGCCGGGAAGGGAATCATCCCATCTACGTTAGTGACTGGCGTCTTGAAATGAAAGCTTCTTTTTAAATGAGACTGTGGGGGGTGTTTGAACACCGTAAAATGATTTTAAAAAGTATTTTTTTAAAATCAAAATAAGTCTCTTTACGTTTTTATTTTATATGCCGTAAAATTATTTTTAAAGTTATAATTTTGTTTCCATTTGAACACTTCTTATACGTATGATTAGCCGTTAGTGGTTACGAGTTTTTTTAAGACAAAGAAAAGAAAGTAAGTGACTAATGGTATCCTGATATACTAATACATAGTAAAAATTATCTGAAAGTCAGGGAATTTGAATTTAAAAATAAGAAAAATTATGGACAGCTTGATTATTTCAACCATAACTATCATGAAAATTCAGTTATGACAACTAATGAAACTCGACACAATAACTGATAGATAGCTAAGTTTTTTAAACATAATATGCAGTGTAAACTGCGTATGGAAAAAGCTTTATTGAGATAAAACCTATTTTAATAATCTTTATGTTTTAGGGAGATTAGCCCACAGTTAACATTCTCTGGAGCTTCATTCAAAATGAACTTTTAAACAAATTCACGTAAAGTGATATAAAACTTTTCTCATATATTTATTTCGTATTTTATGAAGCACATTTAAAAAGTTACTTATAAATTAATATAAACAAATTCTTAGTTTCTAGCAAAAAAAAATTAAAGTTGCTACCAAACAAATAAGTAAAAATGAGATTTAGAAAAACAAAAATGGGAATAATGGCATGGAACAATGGAGAGAAGAGAGAGAAATGTGTAAGGAGTAAGGAAGGATACACATTTGGTCAAATGAGAGGGTGGACGACCTTAATAAATGAAGGTGTCATAGTGGAGAGTGCTCAGATAAGAGAGAGGAAAAAAAATGAAGTTTTCAGAGACAGTACACATTGGTGGGCTGTCTTCCCGCCATTAAAACTCCTCTCTTTCTCTCTCCTCTTATATTTCATTTTCATTTTTCTTATTATTCCCGGCTTTTCTCTCCCATTTTCTTTCTGGGTTTGCCATTTCCTCTCTCTCTAGAAACGACAACAATTCTGGAAGCTCCTCTTCTATAAATAGGACTCTCAGGCCCTTTTCGCTTAGCCACTAGGGTTTTCAGTTTTCACACCTCCCACACACGAGAATCATCAAAATCAAAATTTGCTCCCAAAAGGAAAAACAAAAAGGGAAAATTATTGGCCATCTCTATCTGGTCCTTCACTCCTGCTTGCAAGCAAAGCAAAGAGAGAGACCGCTCCCAATTCATAAATATCCTCACCAGAGAGAGGAGAGAGAAGAGAGAAAGAGGTTTGGGCAAAAGAATTAGAGCCAGGGGATCAATAATTCTTGTGCGAATTGAAGACTTATAGGAGTGATCATCATCAGCAGCAGCAGAAGAAGAAGACGAAGAAGACGAAGGGGGAATTTGGAAGAAGGAGACAATGATGAATGAGAGTGGTGTGAAGCCTGCATGGCTAGAGTCGCTCATGGCGGAGACATTCTTTGGTGCGTGTGGGGTCCACCAGAATCGCAGGAAGAACGAGAAGAACGTCTTTTGCTTGCACTGTTGCCTTAGCATCTGCCCCCACTGCCTCCCTTCTCACCCCTCCCACCCTCTTCTCCAGGTACTTCTTTCTCTCTCTTTCTTCATCAATTCTTCAACCTCCTCTTCAGTTTTTCCCCCTTAATTCCTCTCTCCCAATCTTGATTCTCTGTTTTCTGCTGCTTAATTTCCCCTATTCTTCGCTGGTAAGTGAGAATTCCTTGATTTTCCCCTTCTGTTTCGCACCCGCATGTGGTTCTATCTTGGAAAATTTCCCAGTATTTGTGTTTCTGTGTTCACTTTCTGGCTTACGATTCTTTGATTTTCATCATCATCCTGTGTTTTCTGTCTGTGCTGGGAGGTTTTAATTCAGAGGCAGCCTTGTGTGTCACTGGATCTCTGTTGCCTCCTTTGATTGTACCTCGCATGCAATTAACCGTCACTGATTATGAGTTAGCTTCTGCTTTAATTTTGCATCCTTCTGGTTTCTCTTTGAACACTGAAGATGAAGATATGGTTCAATAATTAAGCTTCTCAGTGATGAAATTCAGCTGGGAAAGAACTGGGAAAAGTCATGTACAGTACCTAGTAGCAAATTCTTTGGCTCAAGATTCTTGCCCAGAAAGAAAAGATTAAATTTGTGTGTGCAGTCCAGGATGAATTAAATTAGTAATTGTTTCTGCTAGATTCTCTTTCTATGGTTTTAGGATTTGGGGTTGGTCAGGGAATATTTCAAATTTGCTGGGTTTTGCTTTGTCTTTGTGGGGAGGGGGTTTCTACTAAAAATGAGAGGGGACTGAATTGATTATCGAAAAGAGAGAGTGGAGAGTAAATTTTAAGGGGGCAATAATGTCTCAATTAAAATGGTGTTTCCTGGGAAGGGTTCATGAAATGGTTGTTTGATTCCCGCTTTTTGGTTTTTGGTTTGTTTCCCATTAATGGAAGATCTCTTTTTTATCCATTTCCACCTGCAAAGGTTTCTCAGCTGTTCCTTTCAGTGAAAGCGAAAGTTTGACCAATTTTTGTTCTTCCCCAATTCCTCTGTTTATTTATTTATTTATTACTATTCCCCATATTCCCTCATTTATTTCATCTCCAATTTCAGCCCCAAAATTTAAAAATTAAGGGTTATATTTCCCCTTTTGGTGAATGATTTGAGAGGATAAGTTTCAACAATTCGCTCCTTGAGCCCTGTTTTTAGCCTTTTTCTTTTTACAAGACGTGATATTTTATTTAATAAATATATGTCCACATCCGGTAAGAGTAGTGGGAAAGAGTAATAGTTGATGTGATATTAGAGTTTATTATAATTAATAAGGATAAAATTGAGAATCATTTGAATTTTATAACAAATTATATACTTTTAACTGTTTTTATTTATCTGTATGTGTGAATTATTTGAAAATGACTTACATCTAAAATTCAGAGAGAGTTGAAAGAAGTTTGAGATCATAATTTAATTTGATTTGATGTGACTGGTTTGTACTTTATGCCCTGAATAAGTTAATTGAATGTTTAATTTTAAACTTTCACAATATGTTCAAAAGGAATTTTGATTGTCTCCAACTATTGGCAGTATATTGCTAGTTGCTAAATATGAGTAAAATTAAATTAGTGACTATTTATAGAAAATGTAGCTTTATCAATTTATGTGAATATTGATATTGATAATTTGTGTGTTGTAATTTCATAGTATTCTTCATGCCACATAGAGGTGGATTGTAGTTCTCTTTCTACTCCTATACACTATTTTCTGCATAGTGCCTTCAATTATTTTCTTGTCTCATTCTGTTCAGTTTTTTTTTTTACTTATTTATTTTCATAAATTATTGGAGAAATTTGGTGCCTAGCTGTTTCAAGAGAAGGTAAGGGTTTCTATATGTGTGTGTGGACTTTTTTTAAAAAAAAATGTTTTAGGAATTTATTGTTATTTTTAATGAGATTCTTACCCACTAATTATGCATTGAAAGATTTAAGCAAAAACTATTCACATTCATTAAAAAAAAAGCTATTCACATAAGTGCTTAATATTCAGAATTACAAATATTTACAAGTCTCAGTTTAAGAATTTAACCCTTAAAATCTTTCTAAATTTGGTGCTTGTGGACAATTTTTTTTTCAAGAATTAAATATAAATGTTGATATTGAATGAGAAAAAGCATGAATGTAAGGTACATATGATGCAAAATAGATTCTTTTGGCACAAATGTGGGGTCTATAGTGAGAGATTTGAATGAAGTTATTGTTCCTCAATTTCATCCTCTCTCTCTCTAATAATATAACTTCCTGTCTTTAAAGGATCTAAATTAGATTTCGTGTTTATCCTTTTTTTTTTTTTTTAACTATCTTTATGATCTCCATAGAATTTATTTATGTATTTATTTATTTTTGGTTTTGATGAAAGCATTTAACAGATTTTCTTAACTGTTGGTTCAAAGATATAATAATAATTTAAAATATAAAATAAAAATTTAATTATCAATTATTCAAATAAAATATCTGCAATCAGACAGAGATAACTACCATGTATGCATCTCTTTTTATTCATGACTTCTCAATAATATAATTTATCATGAACAACATATTTGTGATGATAAATACGTGGAAATCATGGAGAGAAAAAATGAATGAGACTTAAATACTTGTACTAAAAAATAAGTGTAACATTAATTAAGCCTGCAACAGTTCACCTGCCCTATTACACTGCAATTATGTATGTGGAAGTAAACTACGAGGTTTTTGGAAAATTATTTATTAAAAACAAGAAAATTAAATTAGAGCTTTTTTTTGCAAACAATTGACCATCCAATTAGAGGGTGTATTACAGCTGGCGCTGAGTATTATTATTGATTTATTGTTTTTTTTTAAAAATTTTTGGTGACTGGTTGGGACAGGTGAGAAGGTATGTGTACCACGACGTCGTTCGACTGGGTGATCTGGAAAAGCTCATTGATTGTTCCAATATTCAGGTCAGCAAAATGCCCTTATTCTTCCGAAACAGTAAAACAATGAATAAGAGGAAATGATGCTGTTACCATTTTTGCACATCTGTTTTTAAGAGGTCCCAGGGATCTTATTCACATAAAGGAGATTCTTTTCTTTTTGATTCGGGAAAACCAGTCAAAACGCCCTGTTTTTAAACTTTTTTATTAGAAAAATCCCTCAATTCGTTTTCATCATAAAATAATTTTGTACTTTTTCTAGGTTTCAAGTCTGTTTAATCAATAAAATTTAAATACATATAGGGATTTTGCGCATTATATTTTTTCTACCTTTTCTTTTGAAAGGAGTAGAAAGGGAGTGTTGATTATAATTTGTACACTGAAAAATAATTGTATTGCTGAGTTTCAATATTTTTGGATTTAAATAAATACTCAAAAAGTTGCTTCAAGACAGGCATATACGATAAACGGAGCGAAGGTGATATTCTTGAAGCAAAGGCCACAGTCACGGCCATGCAAAGGCTCCGCCAACGCTTGCGGCACTTGCGATCGCATTCTTCAGGACCCTTTCCTCTACTGTTCTCTCTCTTGCAAGGTCTTTTTCTTACCCTCCGGTTCTTATTACTCTTCCGGTTCTATTTATAAATCATTTTCAATATATTTCACGTAGAATAAAGAAAATTTTAAACTTTATTAACTCTCGTTTAAAAATCAATAAATTTTCAACTTTATTTCTATTTACTATATATTATATATTGTGTAAACAAAATTAATATAATAATACATAAAAGATAAAATTATACGTCCATGTGAAAAAAAATTTCTCTTAGTGTCTTTTAAATAGGAACAAAAAAAATGTATTCGCTTTCTATTCTATGAGTATAACAGCTGTTTGGAACCTTTCTTCTCTTCCAATCCTCTCTTAATATATTTCAACAGTTTAGATTTTAATTTTTTATAAATTATTTATAAAAAATTTTGAAAAACATTTAGTGCACTTGTAAACCATTAGAATTAAATTTTAATATAGCTTGTAATTTATTATTTATAATCTAATATTTTAATAACAGTTTAAAAAAAATTTAAATCTAAGCTGTTAAAATATTAATCTAATAGTTAAAAAGGAAGAGAATGAAAAAGGATGGAAAAAGAAAAAGAGAAGAGGTTCCGAGCGCGATCCCTTTATTTTGAGTCATTAATTAGGAGACAAATATGTGCATTTTCTGTTTAAATTTGGACAAAATCTGAAATTTGCTTTCTTAATTACTAGTTCCGAACATTGTGTTTATGTGTGCAGGTGGATCACATGGTGGAGGAAGGGCAGGACCTGTCGGGGATTTTGCATGGATTCCAGGAATCCGACTTCGCCTTCTCCCACTCCGCTTCCTCCGACCAGGATTCCCAAATTGCCCCTCCCTCCTCCTACGGCTCCTCCGGCAATTCCGTCATCTCACCTCTCCGCCTTCCCCGCCTCGTCCTCTCCCTCGGCGGCAGAAGGAAGGGCGCCCCTCAACGAGCCCCTCTCTCTTAGCTCACCTCACCGCCGGACCACTCCTAATAATTCATTTCCATCAATAACTTAATTATGCCTCTTTAATTTACTTTACTGAGTCCTAATATATATTCATCAATCATCCAATTTCAGGACGCAATGAAGATGTTATCAGTCAAATAAGCAGCTTATTGTTAAGTTTTTAGTTACTTGCGTTGTTATTATATTCGCCTCATAACATGCATGCAAAAAAGCCAGAAAAAAAAAGTGATGTATAATATGTGAATTTTTTCTAGTTTTTTTTGGGGGGGGGGGTGTTTTAAAGTTCTCTGGTGGTTTCAGTTAGTGGCATGGTATGCAGGGAATTTCCATCTTCATCCTATGTCGTAGGTGGATCTCAGGGTGTTCTGGAAATCCGCCAGTTTTGTGTCTGGTGATGTAATGGAAATTTGAAGTTTATGTAATGTTTATTAAGCTAATATATATATTTATTATAGCTTTGTATGAAGTTATTATGACTTTTTTCACCACCTGATTCTTCTGTTTAATCTTTTATTCATCTTTTTTCAGATGGGAGTGACTTCTTGATTTTTGTTTTCATTGTGGAACGTAATGGTTCTCGTGAAAAAAACAAAAAAGGAAATAAGAGAGATGAAAATAAATAGATCCCCAAAATCAAATTATTATTATCCCTGACCATTTAGTATGGAGTTTTGCATGTAAATTGTTTCAGGCGTAATGCAACGCTATAACTTGATATCCGCTTTTAAAGTGAAAATAAGTCTTGTGCCTGTTACATTTAATTTGCAGCAAAATCAGTTTTAATTGCGTTCAACATGAAACTCAACATGCAATGATTTTGTAGTATAGTGGCATGAAATCTTATTTTGTAAATGGAAGGTTTTGGATTTGATTATACTTGTAAGTTCAGTTGTTCATATCTGTCTAAGGGTGTATTTGAATCCCCCAAAATTCATGCAAGTAGAGATAAAAAAATTTTCATATATTTATTTCGTATACATCGTAAAATCATTTTCTATGACCATAATTTGATCTCTATCCAAACGCTTAATAGTTCAAAAGGAGAAACGTGAAATTGAACATGCTTAAAGTAGTCTTCAATCCAGTATATTGGCTCTAGGACGTTTATGCTCAGAAAGTTGCCTCAACAAAGTTTTTTGGGTACAATTTTATGCTCAAACTTTAGATAGGGTTCGGGCTTAATCCAAATCAAAAGCAGTGCACTTAATCTGGCTCCTCACTGGTGATACTCTTTCGATACTAAATATAATACTCATTTTGTAGTTACACCGTAAAATAGGTTTTATATTTAGGACCGGAGGAAGTACTATTTTAGATGGGGTAAATCTACAGCAAACAATTTGGTATATATCTAGGTACCTCTAAATCTTGCCTTTCCATAATTAACGGAGTATAAACCCCCTTTTTTCCTATTTAATGATGAGAAGGGGTGGTTCTTACTGCTAAACTCACTGATGATTGGCGCAGCAACAATCAAATCCTAAGGTAATGGAGGATAGTTAATTTTTGTGGTTATGGAAGGGGTCATATCATGGGGTGTAAAATGCAAGTGCTGGTTTCTGGGGCATGAGGCAGTTATGGTACAGCTGATAAAGTAAGAAGACGAGGGGGGAGACGTAGGGTTTTCTGAAGGGTATTGGTGGGTTCTTATGTGGGGAAGAAGATGCCATTATAGTCATCTACATTATATCCCTCCTTTTGTTTTGTTCTTCTCTCTCCCGCCATCTCCTTGTGGTCTTCTGTCACGTGCCCCTCACTTCTGAACACCTCCGTACAGTTCCAATATTACAATTATTGCAGGCGAGGCCGGGGGGCAAGTAAAATCTTATGGAACAAAAAATTTTCCTCGTAAAATACAATTTTTTTTAAATAATTATGGGAGTTTGCGAAACAAGCACTAATTAAGCTTATTTGATGCTTCATAGTTGTTAATTCAATAAAAACATGATAAGTAATATGTTAACTCCTTTTTTTTTAACATCAACCTTTCAATATGTGGCAATCATATTGAACTTGACAAGTGTTGTGAGGTTCTGATTAAGAGTAATCTAACATTTTTAATTGAAAAGAGCAAGCACTAACTATCTAAGATCAGAAACTGAGAGTAAGCCCACAACCTTACAAACAAAACTTTTATGTCACCAGGTTAAGAAGTTATTGACAGAACATATTACTATCTCCGGTCCTAATTATAAGACTCCGTTCATAGATCCCGTTCATAACATTGTATTTCCAAGAGATTAGCTTATTATGCATGGGTTTGCATTTTTTTAAATTAGTTTTAAAAGCTTTATATTTATAGCAATGAAAGTTTTGCATGGTGTCTTTAAAATGTTTATATATATTATTGAATTATATATTGATTAACATGTCGTGAAAACTAGTTTAAATACAAGTATAAATATAAATATTTTAAAATAATTTATTTAATTTTTAAATTAATCACTTAAGTTTTATATTAAAAAAATAGGCGAAAAAGACAAATAATAAAAGAGGAGAGAGAGTGGGGGGAGAGAGTTCACATGGCGTGTCACTTTCTATTCTCATCTCTTTTACTTCTTCGTCATTCTCAGTCTGACCCTATCATCACACTCCCTATGCCCCTATCGTTTTGCCCTAACCCTGCTACACTTCTTGGGGTTCTTCCACGTGTCACACTCTCCTGTCCCTTTCCCCTACCATTCTTCATTTCTTACTACCTTTCTCAACCATAACTTCTTCGTCCTTTTTTTTTTTTCAAGTCTAAAATATAATCTTTATAACTCTCAGGTACTAAATCCGAAGTGACGTGGAGACAGTGTTTACTTTTTACCTTCTGAAGGGACGGTAAAAAAGGTCAACAAAGAGTATGTATATATGACTATTTAGAATAATTTATAAGTAATTTTTTAATTTTAATTTATAGAATATGAAATAAATATATAAAAAAAGTTTTGTTTCGATTCACGTAAAACGTGTTTATAAATGATTTTAATTGTGATGACAAACAAAGTCATAATTATACAGGGAGACACTCCTCTTGTAGTATACGGGAAAATTTTTCATATAAATATATAATTTTATTTTTTACTTATTATTATATTGATTTTATTTTTATGGAGTATAATAATAAGGATAAAATTTAAAAATTGTTAAATTTGTATAAAACATATTAGAAATGACTTGCTCACTTTAATCCATAATATAGTAAGTTGCTTAACTTTTTTCACATGTCAAGAAATGAAAGTTTAGTTATTAAATTGATTCTAAAATGATAATTTTTTTTCTATTTTATTGCTAAAAATGATAAAGTTGTCTTTAATGTTACTCCCTCCATCCTTTATTCCAGAAGTAACAACTACTATTCTTCTCTTGTTTCTAAATATAACTAACACTTATAAGTTGTCTTAAATTTTCATATCAAATTTTTTATTTTGCCCCTATTAATTACTTATTTTAATATTTAATATATTTATTGTCTCACTTTTCAAACCATCATCTCTCTTCATTACACATTCTCTCTTTTTCATAATTCTCTTTATGATAATAATTTTTTTATTCTCTTTCTTATACTCTCTCCCCTATAAATAAAGATATTTTGAAAAAAAACTTTTAATTTTTATCTATTTATTGTCGTTAACTAACTTTTTGACCTATGTAAGAAACGAAAGGAGTACATTATTATTATCTCATATCTCTCTCTCCTCTCTCTTCTATATTTAATGGGGTGAAAGTGAAAAAAATCATATGAATTATTTTAGATCATAATGTTTTAATCCACATCTCATGTTACGAAGAAGAGGGACTATACAAATGAGATGAGGGGAGTATTATTGATGAGCCAAAGGCCATGCCCGTGCATGGGGTTCCATGCAGCACAGGGAATGCAGAAAGCATATAATTGGCTTCAATGAGCATTCCAACGTATTTAATTAATAAATAATAACTAATTGCCATCCTAACGAGCATTTCAATGTGGAATCAGCAAGTTGTTTCTCACTTCACAGCCACTATCTTCTCTCTTGACTCAAGTTTTTGTTTGCTTCTCACCGCATTACATTATTCTTTTTATAAATTAATTATTTTTCAACATCATGTACGGAGTCTAAAGTTAGAATCTGCACCTTTGCAAATTTATACTATCATTTATGGGTTTGAAGAAAAACTCAAAATAGAATTTGCTTTTAAATTTTTAATTTCTTATGAATATAAATTACTCTTTTGGTTCTATTTATAAATCATTTTCAACATGTTTCATATAAACTTGAAAAAACCTTAAATTTTATTAACTCTCATTTAAAATTCAACAACTTTTCAACTTTATCCTTATTTAATATATATTATGCCTTATATAAACAAAGCCAATACAATAATAAATGAAGGGTAAAATTATACATCTATACAAGAAGAATTTCTCAATACCCTATAAATAATACTAAAATTTTTTTCTCTCTATATCCTATAAATAAGACCAGATGAGTAATTGATTCTTGTAAGATATTTTTTTGGGTGCAAGAAATAAATTTTTGTGGGATACTCTATGTCTTGCTATTTATTAATAGGTTGATTTTATTATTTGTGAATGGTTCTCAATGCTTTTATTTTTATTAATTTTATTTATAATTGCAAACCATTTTTGCCTGAAAATTATAAGATTACATAATTTTAAAAATATGACTATTGATGTTAATATTATTTTAAACCTCCTATTCTAGAATGGAGGGATGGACATAGGAACGATAGATATCTATTTATAAGCTTTAAATTTGAATAGTAGTGTGATTTATTTTATAAATTTAATCTGAGTTTATCTTAAAGATATATTTAAAATTAAAAATATATTTCTAACATATTTATTATTATCTTTGATTCTAATTATATGACTTAGTCTATAATTTAGAAATGGGGTTTTATTGCAAGACAAGGAAATATTTGAACACCCTCAGCCCGCTTCCTATCATTTATGATGAGAGCACGGCAATCATTCTCTCTTCTTTTGACCAAATGAAACAAAGGAG